TGTTGAGGACAGAGTGGCATACTTTTTTTAATGTTTTGTTGTGAATTATGTGATAGTTTACATGGGGGAGAACATTAGTTTTACATTCATGCCATCGTATATCGTTTCACCGCCATGGTTGCAATCCCCTCCATGCATCATGCATCATCAACCAACCAAACGGTATACCCTACAAGCTTGCCCCCTGGTTGTCAGCACACAGCCCCTCTTCTTCTCTGTGTCTAAAGTCCCCAGATGCTGGTATACTTTTAAATGAAGTAATTTTGGGAAACCTCACTGAGAGCAAAGACCTGAAGGAGCTGAGGGAGTAGTAAGCTATCAGGATATTTAGAGAGAAGGGACTCCACACAGAGGGAACCCTAAAGTAGGATATGCCTGTCAGGTTTCAGAAATAGTGTGACTGGTACAAAGGGGATGTGAGAGGCTAAATTACATAGGGTTCTCATAAATCATTTTATATTGTTACTAAGTTATGTTGTTAAGTGCTATCGAATTGGTTCCAATCCATAGTGACCCCGTGTAGGGTTTCCGAGGAGCGGCTGGTGAGCTTGAACTGCCGAACCTGTGGTTCAAACGGACTTTGCAGTCCAGCGCAGGAACCCCCAGTGTCATTAATTCTGAGGTGAGGATCCATTAAAGAGTTGTCATCACAGGGGTATTATGGTCTTTATGACATTTAAACAGAAACTGTCAGTCTCCTAAGTTGAGAATACATCGAAAGGAGTCAAAGTGTAAAGGAGAAAGCTTAATTAATAAAAGTGTGACATTAATTTAGGGCACAGGAAATAATGCTACAGATCAGGGTAATGAGAAGTAGTAGACCATGTGTGTGTATATACAAGATATTGAAAGGATATACTGAGGACTTTGGATATAGTCTGCAAGAGAAATAGCAGTCATGGTTAAAGACTTTTAGCTTAAAAATTAGGTAGGATGGAGGCCCCATTAACTGACAGGGAGAAGAGTGAGCCAGAACGGATTCAGAGGTGGGAGTATCACAAAGGATAAGATTTGAAGTTCATTTTGGACATACCGGATGTGAGACGCTACTAGATACCCAAGTGGGAATAACAAGTGGAATAGCGTAGCAGGAAAAGCACTGGACCGCAAGATTGGTTTAAGCCTCAAGGCCGGCAGTTCAAACTCACTGGAAAACCCTATCCAGGCTCACTATGAGTTGGAATCAACTCAATGGCACTTAACAATAACATTTAGGTCTGGATTTCAGATAAGAGATGTGGCTTAGAATTTAATGTTAGGAATTGTGGCACTTAACAACAACAACAGTTATGTTAAATTTGGTTTTTAGATTATTGTGACATTTGTAAACCAACAGAGCAGGTGTGCTTAGTTAGCTGGCTTGGAGATCTGGTGGTCTGGCTACCTGATCTAAATCCTTCTTGGTCCTGCCAACTGTTTGGCTCCACCTAGTGGCAGATACTCATTCTGGCTCAACGTCAGGACTCTGTTGGTTCTCTGGTTAGTTTTGACTTAAAGGACAATGATAGCTGGATAGCAGTTGATTTAGGAAGATTGGGGGAAAACGGAGGATGTGGGACTGAATCATTTACTTTTGCAATCATGAGAAAGTGTTGTCTTTAGTTTTCCTGAAAGACTTCACTTGTACCTTCCCTACCTGAGATCAGAACTTAGAACACCCTCGTTGATTATGGGGGTGGAACAGAGATTGGAAGAACTACTGATAGGTGTCTCTAAATTTTAGAATCATGGGGACCAGAGACAGAAGATAAAAACAAAACAAAACAGAGCCACTCCAGTTTTAAGAAGTTGAGGAGATGGAGTGGGAGTAACTGGTGAGAAGGAAACCTGAGAGAATGGAGACTGGAGTACATGTTGACAAGAAGTCAGGTGAGAAGAGGACTGAGACTGGACCTGTAGGTTGAACAGCATAGAGGATGTTGATGACCTTGATAAACATAGTTTTAAATGAGTAGGGTTAGAATATGTTTAAGAGGCAATTCAAGGAAAAGATTGAAGACAGTGTTTATAGACTTTGTCTCTTTGATGAGTTGTAATGAAGCATAGAGATGATTGGTGATAAGATATAGGAGAAATGAAAATAAAAAGGATTTGGATTTTTAAAGACTTTGTAGGAAAAATGACAGCGTGTTTCTGTAGTGATGGGGATGGCCTAATAGAAGGAGGCAAATATTCCTTTTGTTTAGAAAAGCAGTAGATGTTGTTTTTAGAAAGTACAGTTAAGGTCGAGGAAGGAAACAAAAATAATTCACCACTGAGGTAATTTGTTAGTAAGGATTAGGTATGTAGTTTTTGTGTTTTTGGCATAAAACTTTTTTCTTCACTTTAAAATTACGACAAAATTCACATACCATGAAATGTACCCTATTAAAAACTATGAAATTCAGAGAACTTGTGGAATAACAATAAAAACATCATACATTAAAAAAGCAAAAGGTCATTAAATAGGCAGGAAAGAAAGAAAAACAAAAACAAAATATATGTCAGAAGATACTATCAAACTTGCTCTTGAATCTAGAGTAGTTAAAGCAAGTGGAAGAAATGATGAAATGAAGGAACTGAGCAGAAAATGTCAAAGGACAAACTGATATGAACAACTTTGTGCTAGACCCTTAAAAATGTATCTGATTTTATCTTTTAGCAACAATTTCTGAAAGTAGATTAGGTTCAAAGGATAAGAACACTGTTTTAGGGGCTGTGGCTTTATTGCTAGGTTGCTTTACTGAAGTATACTCCAGTTTGCACCACCATGAGCATGTTTTTCTTGTCCTAAGTACCTAAATACTGCAATAGTTTTAATTAGTTGAATAAGCATCTCTGTGTCTTGATTTTAGTGTGTAACAGAAAACAGACATCCTTGAAACTTTCCTGAAGCCACCTAAAATTCTTCTTGACAAAATTGAGCTTTTCATGACATACTTGCTTGGAAACATTGGGAAGAAACACATTCATGCTGAAGTAATTTTGGCTGCATCTTTTAAAATGGAAACTTGAATTCCTGCTTTATTAAAAACATTTTGGAAGGGAGTTGGATTTGATCATTAGCATCCCCCTCCCCCCAGTACTTTGTTGTAGCACTTAAAAGAATAATTTGGAACTATTGATTTTCAGTTAGTTGTTTGGGGTCGGTAAATTTTTTTCTATGAAATTCATGTTCTAGGAATGTGAATATCACTTCATTGCTGATGACTTATTAGGACTATAGATTGAGTTTTTAGAAATAGCTTATTATAATGTTGTTGTGTTGTCAAGTGCCATTGAATCGATTTTGACTGATAGTGACCCTGCAGCTGGTGGGTTTGAACTGCTGACTTAGTCGTCCAGTGTTTATCCTACAGCATCACACCAAGAGTCCATATATTGTTGTTGTTAAGTGCCTTTGAGTCAGTTCTGACTCATAACTACCTTGTGTGGAGTTTCCAAAGAGCGGCTGGTAGGGTTGAACATCGACCTTTCAGTTCAAACAGTTCAAACTGACTTTGCAGTCCAAACTGACCTTGCGGTCCAGTGTGATTATTTTGCAGCACCACTCGAGGACTCCACAGTAGTACAACAGAAAATAAATACAATGTTAACTTTAGAATTAACATTTAGAAAATACAAGGACCCTAGTACAACAGAGTTGTTTTTGTGCAAATGATAAAGATCATAGATTTCACTTATTTTGAAAACTTCAAAAAAAAGTGTAAATTAAAGCCTAATAGAGGTCATTTATAAATCACAATGGTACATATGTGGGATAATTAAAGACCATCTCTAGGTTTTAAATTATTTAGATCTAATTTAGATTTTTTAAAAATTACATAAACATTTCTAGTTACTCATTTTTATTTTAGTCTTAGTGGGGGATTCACGCTTTTTGTTATTTGTGATTCTCCTAGGAATAATGTGATTTACTTTCATTATACTTTGTGCAGTTATGATACAGATTATAATTTTTCTTTTTATTGAACTAACTGCAGATTCACCCATCTTTCTCTGTCATAATGTATATAAAATATCAACTTTTGTGCAGTTTGGTAGTCAAGGTATATTCCAAGATAAATTGCAATGTAGGTAGGTGGGTAGATAGGGTTATTTATATTTATATACATAGTGTATATAGTCATTTAAGTCACTAATCTCTGCCCTACATGGAGAATTAAAGGAATGGTTTGACAGTTATAGGGGCTATGCATTTTTAATGAGAAGTTTTGTAATTGCTGTAACAATGAAGAGATAAATATGCAGTTAATTATCTTTTGTTGATTTTTAAAAATCATGAACAGCAGGATGTCTTATATCGTTATATATCTTGCGTGAGCATTGGTCAAATGCTTTTTTTTTTTTTTTTTCCTGTTGCAGACTGTGGCAGGTCTTTCTTGACTTATAAAGTAATCATACTTGTTTTTTCAAAAGGATTTTTGTGTTGTGTCAGTGAGCTAAAACCACAAGGTTGGAAGTTCAAACCCACCAGCTGCTTTTCAGAAACCTTCTACAGAGTCACTGTGAGTCGGAACCAAGTCGGTGGCACTTACAATAATAGCAGCCATTAATTGTCCGAGGTACTATGCTTAGCAAAAAGTGTTGTGTTAGTAACTCCTCAGTGAGGTTCATAACCTGTTTTATAGAGGGAAAACTGAGACTCAGAAAGGTAAACCAAGGATAGCCAGTTAGGAGGTAGAGGCAGAGCTCATTTAGAAACCTAGGTCCATTGTAAACATAATCCTTTTTTATCTCTAATTTTATTGTTGATGTCTATAGAACCTTATTATTTATTTATATTTTTTGAGGCCTTTTGAAAAACAAAATTCAGTTCATTCCATCAGTAGAATGATTTCTTTGTGCTGCTGTGAAATAGAAATCAGTTTTTTGGAATTTCTGGCCAATGTTATTCAGTGAACTGTTTGAAAAATGGTTCATATTTTATTTACTGTATGTTATAAATGCTTTCCATTGTGAAACATTAGAAAAGCAGATCATAATTTTTGCTAATATTTCTAAATATGTGTTTGTAACAGATTTGGCAACGGATCGGAAGCTCTTCCGTCTGGTCTCCAATGACTCCTTCATCTCCATTCAGCCTTCCTTATCCTCTTGTGGACAGGATTTACCAAGGGACTTCAGCGACAAAGTGAGCCTGCCAAGTCACAGCCACCACCACCACGTTGACCAGTCTCTGTCTAGTGCCTGTGACACAGAAGTGGCTTCTCTCGTACCTTTACACTCACACTCTTACAGGAAAGACCACCGGCCGCGAGGTGTACCACGGACTTCTAGCTCTGCTGTAGCTTTTCCAGATACTTCACTGACTGACTTCCCTCTCTATCAACAAAGACGTGGGTTAGATCCAGTCAGTGAGTTAGAATCTTCCAAGCCTCATTCTGGATCAAAAGAATCCTTGGTGGAGAATTCTTGTTTATCTGGGGAATTTCAGTTTGTTGGTGACCTGAAGAAAAGCAATTCTCAGCCACCCACAAAAACTGGGAAGCGCAAGCCTTTAAAAGCAGACAAAAGCATGGACAGCTTGAGGAGCCTGAGCACACGGAGCAGTGGGTCTACTGAAAGCTATTGCAGTGGGACAGACCGTGACACTAACAGCACTGTCAGCAGCTATAAAAGTGAGCACACCAGCTCAACTCACATAGAAAGCATCCTGTCAGAACATGACGAGTCTCCTAACATAGGAAGAAAAGGTGATGGCAAAAAAGAAGGCAGTGTCGACGCAGAAGCAAAGAGTGACAAAAGGACTAGTAGTGAAAAACCTGCTTTGGAAGGCAGTACTAATAGTGGGGTTCAAGAGGCCAAGGATTCTAACACCTCTGATGATATGCACAACCAGAGAAGTCTCAGTACCTCTGCATCTGAAGAAGCCAATAAAAATCCTCATGCAAATGAATTTACTTCACAAGGGGACACACCTCTGGAGAAGACACCTGAAAGCATAGAGGAACAGGGTGGCAAGTCAGCCGTTTCATTGGATTCAAAAATGTGTAAAGATGTTGGTGGAAAGCAAAAGGAAGGGGATGTACGACCCAAGTCTTCCAGCTTAATCCACCGGACAGCCTCTGTCCACAAGTCAGGCAGGAGACGGACAGGGAAAAAACGGGCCAGCAGTTTTGACTCAAGTCGGCACAGGGACTGTGTTTCCTTTCGTGGTGTTTCTGTTACTAAACCACATAGTGCAGTATTTTGTCATGATGAGGACTTCAGTGATCAAAGTGACTTGAGTAGGACATCCAGTATTCGGTCTGCTCACCAGTTCAGCAGTGATAGCTCTTCTAGTACCACTTCTCATTCATGTCAGTCTCCCGAAGGCAGATACAGTGCTCTAAAGACCAAATACACTCATAAAGAAAGGGGCACAGACTGTGAACACACACACAAGGCTCATTCGGGTCCTGAAGGAACTGGCAAAAAGCGGGCCACACGACGGACTTCCAGCTCAAATAGTGCCAAAACTCGTGCCCGAGTGTTGAGCCTGGACAGTGGTACAGTTGCGTGTTTGAATGACTCCAATAGGCTCATGGCACCTGAAAGCATAAAACCATTAACCACGTCAAAATCAGATCTTGAGGCCAAAGACGGAGAGGTGCTAGATGAGCTGTCTTTATTGGGAAGGGCTTCGCAGTTAGAGACAGTTACTCGATCTAGGAATAGCTTGCCAAGCCAGGTTGCATTTCCTGAAGGGGAAGAGCAAGATGCAGCCAGTAGAGGTGAGTAAAGTACAAGAAGAGATTTCCTGGAGACAACTGTGATTTTCGGTACTATTGACTAAAACAATACTTACTTACTACATTATGCTTTGTGGTAAAATACTGCTTGGTATTAATATCCTTTTTGCCATTAAGTTATTAAAATCACTTAACCACAGTTCTGTCTTAGAAAAGGTTTTGGTGTGAACACCAAGAAAATATTTCTTCAGTTGTATTATTGGAGGAATATTTCAATTTAATGACATTTGCGTTTTTTAAAACCAGTTGCTACCTGCTAATGTTTTCCCAGGAATAACAATTAACCCTCTTCCTTTGCACAACAATAGGAACAGCACAATGTAGAATTCTATTTGGGCATCAAGCCCCTTTTTTTTTTCTCCAAGTCATCTTTCACACAGTTCGTGCCACTGAATTTCAGAATTGGATCACACGAACTGTTGTTATCTAAGATTTTTCTAAATATTACTTTGGCTCTGGTTATGCCCTTGGAAAATTTGTGGCTCTTTTTGTCTGATTTTATTTCTTCCTTATTCAAGTTTGAGATTTTAGGAATAAATACATATTCTTTTCTTCACGCTTTAAAAAAAACACACAAAAACCCAAAAGTTTATTAAATCCAAGTTTGAATTTCTTATTGGCATATGGGATCTGTTAGTGACTACATTAATTTCCCTGTGGGAAATTAATGTGAGGATATTTTCATTAAAGTAATAATTTATTTCAGTTTTGTGGAATTGTGCAAAATTCCATAGGTGATTTTATATTCTGTCATTGTGTTTTTATTTATTTCAGAGTTGTTTCCCCCCTGTTATTTTCTCCTGTCCAGAATACTTTGCTCATTCTGGTTATTAATGGCATCCTGGTATTAAATAGTCAGAAGACTTAGCTCTTCTGTTGCTGGCTCCTTAGCTTTTTTTTTTTTTTTTTTTAAATCTGTATTTCCATTACTATTAAATTAAGCTAGTATCTTTAGTTTTCAAGTTTAATGTCTGTTGATCTTATTAAGCATCTTTTATTAACATCTCTTATTAAAAGAATTCTGCTGGAATATTTCTATGTACAAATGTTCTAAAACATAGGAACCTACATTTTCTTGCAAAGAAATTTACTTCAAGTTGGTTCTGGTTCTTAGTAAACCCGTATAGGGTTTCTGAGCAGTGGCTGGTGGATTTGAACAGCCAACCTTGTGATTATCAGCCTGATGCTTATCCTACAGCACCACTCCATTGGCTCTACTATAGTTGTGACTGTAGGAAAACTAACCTGTCTTATTTAACCGTCTTTAGCTTCTCAGCTGTCTCATGTTGAAACATGGTGATAAAATCTATCTCACTGGATTGCTGCGATGATTAAATGAGTTAATATATATAAAGTGATTAGAACAGCATCTGGCAGATAGACTAATAAATGCTACTATTACTACTGTCTAATGGGCCAGTTTGTATGCTACTCAACTGTTTCCTATCTCTTGCTTAATTTTAATAATTTAGTAGTATAAAATTGAAATGAAACAAATGATTAAATCTAGAAATACATGAGATAAGTATGCTATTGTGAAACTTGATGATAGTAAAAATGTCTGAAATTATATTATGCTAACAGAAAAACATTAAAAAAATATTATAATTGTAGCAATAAGGGTTTTAGCCATATTTTAACAGCAGTGTATCATATAACTCATCTTTGGATAGTCAGTCACATAGCAGATCATTGCTTTGATCGGACCTCTCAGGATTAATCATGTACTTTGGTTAAATGGGAATTTCTTAAGTAATGTTCTTTGATTGCCTAGACAGGAAAAAGTTTTAAGTTCAAACAAAGGCATTTCTGTTCTTGACCACATATTTTGCATTTAGCTATTATTTAGTGTGAGGCATATCTTTAATAGAGACTAATATTTCAAGAATAAAGTATTGGCAGCTTTGTTGCTAGAAAGGTACATTGTTTTTTCTAGCCTATATTACTTAAAATAAAATCATTTTCTTTCAGTCATTTAAACTCGTTTCCTGTATGATTCAGTACTGTTTTTGTACTATATTTTCTGTAACAGTTCACATATTATGGAGAACTCCCATCATGGAAAAGTTTGTTTACATGATTTTTCTCTGTAATTTTTTCCAAACTTTTAAACTTCCATATCTCTGAGAAAATTATTTTAAGTATATTTGTTTGAGTTACTGTTCTGTAAGCACAGAATAGGAACCTGTTATAATACTGTATGTGTTGGTTGGAAACACAAGATAATCTTAGATTAAAGGAATATTAAAGAAAAGTCAGATCTTCTGGTCACAGTTGATGGGGGTTTGTGCCATACATGTCAATTGTTGTTTATTTTGTACCCAAATATTGGTAAACATTAGAAAGAAAACTCAAAGACCACTGTATAGACAATAAAATATGAATCAAAGCATTTTTACTTTACCAAATACAGGGACTCTAACTTCTAGTAAGCTTAGTTTTCTCATTTCTCAGTGTACGTGCTAAGTTAGCAGTAAATTAGTAGAAGGGGGAGGATGCATGTAGAGCTAAAGCAGTGACAGCAGAACAAAAACACAGCTTTTGTTGAAGTCTGAGTTGGGGTTACTATACAAACGAGAGCAAAAAGTATAATAGGGATTGTCATTAAGAATAGGGTCAACTATCATTTGTATTCTAATGGTGGTTAAGGGCATCATAGCTTACCATATTAATATTAAAATTACCATCTGCTCCCATAAGGAGTTCCAACTTTGGAAGCCCTATACAGGATGGCACACAGCAGCAGCATAGGAGAATGTAGTAATCAGTGTGTGTAGAGTCAATCATGGTTCCCTAAGAAAGGCTAGTATGATGTGGAGTGTGTATTATGAAGAAAGCTTGCACACATAAAGCAGCCTAGAAGAATGCTCATTGCATTTAGTGAAACAGGTTTGGCTACTTCATTAACTGAGAAAAATTGACTTCATTTAGAAAATTATAAAGAAAAGAGGTATTTTATGAACGAGGAAGATAAAAGTTTGTGTATTGTTGTTATGTGCTGTGGAGTCAGTTCCGACTCATAGCGAGCGACCCTGTACAGGGTTTCCGAGGCTGTAAATCTTTACTGGAGCAGAAAGCCTCATCTTTCTCCCGTGGAACAGCTGGTAGTTTTTAACTGCTGACCCTGAGGTTTGCAGCCCGATTTGTAACCACTACGCTACCCAGAGTCCCCAAAATTAGCTCTTGCCTGATTGTGTGATGTAGGAACAAATGTTATGGTGTGTTTCTTTCTGACAGTGTGGAATTCTAGATAAGGAATCAGAATCTTTACATTTTAATACTACCTTTAATTACTTAGTACTCTGGTAAACCATTAAGTCTATGTCTCAGTTTCCTCTTCTGTAAAACAGGGACGATAACTATCTGGGTCTGCCTCAGAGCCCTGGCATCGCAGTGACGAAGTACTTGACTATAGCTGGAAGGTAGGTGGTTAGAATGCACCAGGCATTCTTCAGGAGAAAAATGTAGCACTTTGCATCAGTAAAGATTTTGTTGTTGTTAAGTGTCGTCAAGTCAGTTCTGACTCATAACAATCCTGTATAGAGCTTCCAGGAGCGCTGGTGGGTTTGAACCATCGGCGTTTAGGATAGCAGTCCAGTGCTTATCTCTCAGCGCCACACCAGGACTCCTGTGAAGATTTATAACTTTGGAAAAGCTATGGGTTAATTCTACTCTGTCATACAGTGTCTTTATGCGTTGTGCAGTGTGGGTGGGGCCTGTCTTCATGTTTAATTATCAGACTGTGTGAATGTAAAAACTTAATGAGCTTAGATGTGTAAAACTGATTTGTAAAGTGTAGATTCATTATGTAAACTAAGAGTGTGCCTTTAGATTATTTACAAGGAAGTTTTCATTTTCAAATACATCACTTCAGATATGTGTTCTTTACTAATGACTCATTATAAGGCTCATTATATGTAAAAGTGTATGTGAACACAGCTTTCTGGGAGAGGGTGGCTGTCTTTCATCCAGTTCACAAAGCATTAGGAACCCTTGGAGATAACAAGTACTCTGTAAGCTTTGTCTTTTGGGAATTTTCTTTGTGAAGTACAACTTGAGAGCGTCACCTAATTTCTTGAATCTGTTTTGTCCACACAGTTATTTTTGCCTGCTGGGATTGTGGAAAGCCTCAGTATGGACCTGACAGTTTTGTTTAACTGAAAACACATCTAATAGCTTAATTTTTGTTTATTGCTGTTTGTTTAGTTGTCAAAAAGTAGAGTTCTAAATTGTGTTTGCAGATGGAGATAATTGTAATTCAGAATTGATCCTTAGAAGTTTTGCAGTAGATTCTCACTATTCCTTGACTTTTCAGAAAATTTGTCTTTGTATTAAAATAAAATACTTGTTGACACATAAGTAGTATTATTGGCTAAAATGCAAACTGAAACCAAAAGGGAAAATTACAGTGAAAACTGTGAGAGCTGGAACTCCATGGCTTACATTGTTTTTCAGGGTCTCACAGGTTTTTTTTGGCCTTTGATAAGGTGCAGATTTAGCATTTTTGTGTCTATTGGAGAATATTTTGAGTTTCCCATCTTTTACAGGTATACTTCCAGATATGTTTGTATACTTACTTGTTTCATACTTTGGTCTTCTTTCTTTAAAATTTAGTTTCCTAATTGCATAATGTAGTGGTTACGAATCGGGCTGTGAACTGCAAGGTCAGCAGTTCGAAACTACCAGATGTTCTGCAGGAAAAAGATGAGGCTTTCTGCTCCCGTAAAGATTTACAGCCTCAGAAACCCTGTACAGGGTTGCTATGAGTCGGACCCGACTCCATGGCACATAAACACCACCAGTTGGATTTTGCTTTTTATCTTTTTATTTTCAAAATCTTCTAATTTATTCCTGTCTTTCCTGCAGTAAACCTTAACCAGCAGAAAAAATTGTGAACAGTTTCTTCTGTCTAAGTTTTTATTACTTCACTTAATAGCAATTTACCTACTACCACAAGAGGCCAGCCACAGCCGTACATAGCA